TCTGGCTAAATAGGTTCTTACAAGACAGACTACTCCAGATTGGTATGTGGCAACTTTAATAAGCAAGAAAACTTGCATCCACAGCTTATCTAAGGCAGCTGCAAGATGAGTAGATATTTGCACTTACATGCCAGAATCTTTAAAGTTTACACTGAGGCTTTAATGGGGATCATTCACATATACAGTCCAGATGGTGTCAACAACACATTACTCAGTCAAACCTACATCTTTAAATGGCTCCTGGAGTAGGAACAGGAGAAGGGAATAGATCCCAAGGATAGAAGATGAGGTAAGAAACCGCTGATTACCCAAATCCTCCTTGCAGGTCACTCAGCATTCATATCCTCTTGATGATCCTCTATAATAGGAGATATATTTATATATATAAGGTCAGTTGTTCTGTGACTTTTGCTTACTTAATTCAATCCATTTACATTTAGGGTGATTATTGATATATAAGAATTTACTAATTTTATTTTAATTGCTTTGACAATGGTTTGTAATTCCATTTATCCTTTATTTCCTCTTTCTGTATGCTTTTGTAAGTTCGTAATTTTCTGTTGTGGAACATGATGACTCCTTCGTCTTTATCTTCTGGGAATCTACCATAGATTTGTGTTGTGGTATGAGGCTTACATAAAACATCTTATAGGTATAACAGTTTATTTTACACTGATATAAATTTAAATTTGGTCACATACAAAGACCCTACACTTTCTTCCCCTTTCATATATGTATGCCCCCTTTTTTATACTTTTGATGTCACAATTTTTTTTCATAGTGTATATTCATTAAGAAATTATACTAAGTATAGTCATTTTAATATTCTTTTTCTTTAACCTTTATAATATAGTTAAGTAGTTAATGGTATGGAACATAAAGGTGAAAGAAAAAAAAATTCTTACTGTCTACAGCCCATTAACAAGTCCTTGAAACAGGTAGAGTGACCTTCCTTAGGAAAGCAGCTGTTTCAATGTTGACACTTTACTAAGGGCAAAAGGCAATCTTAGCTTAACATTATCCCAACACCCTAGGATCCTGTAAGTCTACATTAACATATAAAAATTCTTTTGGAGACTTCCTTTATTTCTACCCCCAACCAGATATATGTTAGTAATCAGTCTCCAAGCTTATGGCCCACAGATATATATCTGATATATATACCTCACAAGGTTTTATCAGACAGTAATAAATGACCTATTTCTGAAAAACAGGCTCTCAAGGTCTTGGAAAACTTCTTTCAAAATTCCTTAGAGATTTACACTATCTCTAACCCTCTCCCCACTTAAAAGTATATAATCAGTCCCCTATCACAACCCCAGTGTGGCTCTTTATGCCAATGGGTCCTGTCCCATGCTTTAATAAAACCACCGTTTTGCACCAAAGACATCTCAAGACTTCTTTCTTGGCCATTTGCTCCAAAACTCAACATTTTCATATTATTTAACACACCATCAAATTACAGAATTAGAGTTTTCAAAACCTGACTATATATTTACCTTTACCAGAGTGTTTTATATTTGGTATACTTTAAAAATAATTCATACTAATATATTTACATTTCAGGATGAAGAATTCCTTTCAGTACTTCTTATAAGACAAGCTTAGTGATAATGAAGCCCTTTTATTTTTTGAGAATTTATGAATTTTGTGAATTGATTTGTCCAAATCTCTCCTCACATTTCAGAAGTTTACATGAATTGTTTCTTTAAATACGCTTTTAAGATAAACTTTCTATTACCTTATCCCACTTGTCTACTTATAGTTTGAGGATTGTTTCTTTTAATGTTGCTTCATGTATCATATATGCTTTATTTACTTTTTATTTTTTTAAAAAAATTCCCCTCTGAACAAATAATCTTCAAGCTTATGTATTTTAATCAATACATTATTTATTCTGTTTTATCTATTCTGCCTTTGAATTTCTCTGTTGCATTTTTATTTCATTTGTTGTATTCTTCAGATTCAGAATTTCTGTTTGTTGCTTTTTATTTAAACTCAGTTAGCTAAGGTATAATACGTTATTAATTTTTGATATAATGTTCACTGATTCCTTAGTTGGATACAACACAATGTGCTCATTCTATCATGTGCCCTCTTTAATTACCATCACACAGTTATGCCATCCCCTTGTCCACCTCCCTTTCCAAAACCCTCAGTCTGTTCCTGGAATCAGGAGTCTCAGATGGTTTCTTTCCCTTTCTAATTTATTCCCATTCAGGTTTCCCTCTGTTCCTCTATTGTCTTCTGTACTATTCATTTATTGTCTTCTTTACATATTCTGTATATGTTCCACATATAGTGAAACCATATGCTAATTGTGTTGCTCTGATTGAGATATTTCACATAGCATAATCTTCTTCAGTTTCATCCATGTCAGTGCAAAATGGTGGGTATTTATCCTTTCTGATGGCTAAGTAATATTACACTGAATATATGAACCACATCTTTTTTTATCTATTTGTCTGTTGAAGAACATCTTTGTTCCTTCCATGGTTTGGCTATTGTAGACACTGCTGATGTGAACATTGGGGTGCATATGCACCTTCTTTTCCATACATCTGTATCTTGGGAGTAAATACCTAGTAGTTCAATTGCTCAGTTATAGGGTAGCTCTATTTTTAACATCTTGAGGAACCTCCATACAGTTTTCCAGAGTGGCTGCACCAGCTTGCATTCACACCAATAGTGGAAGAGGGTTACCCTTTCTCCAAATCCTTACCAACATTTGTTGTTTCTTGTCTGGTTAATTTTAGCCATTCTAACGGATGTAAGGTTGTATCTCATTGTTGTTTTGATTTGCATTTCCCTGATATCTAGTGATGTTGAACATCTTTTTATGCACCTGTTAGCCATTTGTATGTCTTCTTTGGAGAAGTGTCTATTCATGTCTTCTGCCCATTTTTTGACTGGAATATTTGTTTTTTGGGTGTTGAGTTTGAGAAATTCTTTATAGATCATGCATATCAGCCCCTTGACTGATACATCATTTGTAAATATCTTCTCTCATTCTGAAGGTTGCCTTTTAGTTTTGTTGACTGTTTCCCTTGCTGTGAGAAGCTTTTTATCTTAATGAAGTCCCTAGAGCTCCTTCTAGCTTTTGTTTCCATTACCTTTAGGGGCATGTCTTGAAAGAAGTCACTGGGGCCAGTGTCAAGGAGGTCACTGCCTAGGGTCTCCACTAGGATTTTGATAGATTCCTGAATCACATTAAGGTCTTTGATCCATTTTGAGTTTATCTTTGTATATGGTGTAAGAAAGTGGTCCAGCTTCATTCTTCTGCATGTGGCTGTCCAATTTTCCCAGAACCACTTATTGAAGAGACTGTCTTTTTTTTCAATGGGTATTTTTTCCTGATTTGTTGAAGATTAGTTGATGATGGAGTTGAGGGTCCATTTCTGGGCATTCTATTCTGTTCCATTGATCTATGTTTCTGTTTTTGTGCCAATACCATGCTGTCTTGGTGATCACAGCTTTGTAATATAACTTGAAGTCAGGCATTGTGATGCAACCATCTTTGGTTTTCTTTTTCAATATTCCCCTGGCAAGACAGGAAACAACAAATTTTGGCATGGATTTGGAGAAAGGGGAAGCCTCTTCCACTCTTGGTGGGAATGCAGTTTGGTGCAGCCACTCTGGAAAATAGTATGGAGGTCCCACAAAGTGTTAAAAATAGGGCTCCCCTATGACCCAGCAATTGCACCACTGGGTATTTACCCTAAAGACACAGATGTAGTGATCTGAAGGATCACATGTACCCCAATGTTTATAGCAACAATGTCCACAATAGCCAAACTCTGGAAAGAGTCTATAGACAGATGAATGGATAAAGAAGATATGGCATATATATATATACATGCAATATTATGCAGCCATCAAAACACAAAATCTTGGCATTTGCAACAATGTGGATGGAACTAGAGGCTATTATGTTGAGTGAAATAAGTCAATCAGAGAAGAGAATTATCATAGCATCTCACAGATATGAGGAATTTGAGAAACAAGACAGAGGATCATAGGGGAAGGGAGGGGAAAATGAAACAAGATGAAACCAGAGAGGGAGACAAACCATAAGAGACTCTTAGTCTCAGGAAAAAAACCGAGGTTTGCTGGAGGGGGGGGAGGGGGGAGGGATGGGGTGACCAGGTGATGGACTTTGGGGAGAGTATGTGCTATGGTGAGTGTTGTGAATTGTGTAAGACTGAAGAATCACAGACCCGTAACCATGAATGAAATAATACATTATATGTTAATAAAAAATAGAGCTACCCTATTTAATATAATATTACTCAGCCATCAGAAAGGATGAATACCAGCCATTTGCATCAACATGGATGGAACTGGAGGGGATTATACTAAGTGAAATAAGTCAAACTGAGAAAGACAATTATCATATTGCTTCACTCACATGTGGAACCGAAAGAATAGTGCAGAGGACCACAGGGGAAGGGAGGGAAAAATGAATGGGAAGAAATAAGAGAGGGAGACAAACCATGAAAGACTCTGCACTCCTGGAAACAGAGTTACAGAAGGGAGGGGGTTTGGGGGTTGCATAACAGGGTGATGGGTATTAAGGAGGAAGTGTGTTGTGATGGGTACTGGGTGTTGTATGCAACTAGTGAACTGTTGAACACTACATCAAAAACTAATGATGTATTATATGTTGACTAATTGAACATAACAAATAAGAACAAAGGAGAAAATAAAAACAAAAACAAGGACAAAAGAAATCACAAATATTCTTCAAAAGTTAACTCTGAAAATAACATTTCCCCCTGACAAACATTCTGGATACTTACTATGTGTCAAAAACTGTCATTATGTCTGTACAGAGTTTTTAAAACAATATGTTATGTAAAACCATAGGAATAAAGAGTAAGTTACAAATTACTGCCTTTAAACTAAAACTACTGTTTTGTAAAATAATTCAGTGACTCTCTAATGGAGAGTATAAGAACATCATGATTTCAACACCTTTTTTTGATTCAAAAGGACATTTTTCATTTGTGCATCATTTTCTTTAGCAGTCTTTGCAGAGCATCTTTTACTTCTTTGTTCCTTAGAGTATAGATGAGAGGATTCAACAGTGGTGTGACCAAAGTGTAGAAGAAAGTGAAGATCTTGCCATAATTTGAAGCAAAGTGGTTCTTAGGATCTGCATAAACCATGGCCACTGTCCCATAAAACATGAAGACCACAATAAGGTGGGAAGGTGGCAATGGCTTTTTTCCTTCCCTCTTCTTCCCTCTTCTTCTGGAGTTTCCCCAAGGCTCGAGCTATATAGCCATAGGAAGTCAGGATCAATACCACTGGCACGATGGTGAAAAGGTCAGCAGAGGTGGTCATTTGCCACTCAGTGGCTGAGGTATCTCCACATGCTAGGCATATGAAGGCAGGAACTTCGCACGGAAAATCATCCGGGTGGTGGTGGGTGCAAAAAGGAAGCTGGAATGTGATGGGAGATTGGGTTGCAGATTCCATCAGTCCAGACAGCCAGGCTATTAGCACCAGTTTCCAACAGAACTGATGATTCATGATGATGGTATAGTGCAGAGGCTGGCAAATAGCAACATAGCGGTCAAAGGCCATCATCACCAACATAACACCTTCTGTTGCACCAAGGCAGAGGAACACAGATACTTGAATGACACAGCCTGTGTAGGTGATGCTCTTGTCTGGCCTCCACAAGTTAGACAACATCTGAGGCACAGCAGTTGTAGTGAAGCAGAGATCCAAGAAGGAAAGATTGCTAAGAAAGAAGTACATGGGAGTGTAGAGATGAACGTCCACACAAGAGAGCAAGATAATTGTTGAGTTGGAGAGGATGATCATGGCGTACAAAATGATCACTATCCAGAAGAGAATAATTTCTAGATGGGGCCATTTAGTGAAGCCAAGAAGAATAAAGCCTACTTGGAAACTGTTGTTTCTCATTGCTAGTGCTTTTGACATTGGTGCTTGGACATAATTATAAGTAAGATTTTGTGAATGAATTGCACAGAAAGGCTATACTACAGCCATTATTAGTTTTCCAGGGGGTCTTAGGACATGGAACATTTGGATGTTTTTCCTTATATCCGAGCAGTTGTATACAATCTCTCTTCCATAAGTTTGTGTTTTTTATACAAAAATGGTATTAATAAGATCCTGATGAGGAAAACAAAAATGAGATAAATGTAGCTAAAATTAAATCTCCTTACAAGTTAGAGCCCACTGATGAATACCTGAGGCACACAGAGTATGACACTCTTCAAGGAACTCATGGCTGCCTTAATGTTGATGTTTCATTAGAGATTAAAAGCAAACTTATCTTAACAATAACCAGATCTCCAAGATCCTGTAGACTCTAACTTCAGCATACAGAAACTTATGCTCTACCCCCACTCTCTCCACAAATTTAAAAATATATGATTAGTCACTCCTCACAGTCATAAGTGCAGCTCTTTCTGCCCACAGGTTCTGTCAATTTTTGCACCATAAAACATCTCAAGAATTCTTTCTTGATGATCACACTTGATGGCCCCAAATCAATATTCCCCTGGGGATTTCTCTCTGGAATTTAATAGCAGCATTCCCAATGAATATCTTTATGCAATTAACATTCTCTTTTAGCTACATATGTAGTGTCTTTTGCATAGTTTTAATTTACATTGTTTGGTGATGTTATTAAGATCATGAAAAATGGAGATTATCCCAGGAACAAAGCCCATGTGCTCTAAATATAGACCCTAAACAGTGAGACTGAGCATAAATAAACTTTTGAGTGTCTGAAGAAAAACCCTGGGCTAGAAAACATACCAGTTTTTAAATGAAACAAAGGTCATTTAACCTTAACTAGGTTAACTTTAATTACTTTAAGTAAATAAGTTTAAATTTCTGAGACACTATTCTTACCTTAGAAATGGTTATATTATTATTATTATTATATCTCTATTTATCTAAATAAATAAATTGATATCTCTATTTATTATCTCTAATTCTTATCTCAGATAATTTGGATCCAGATTAATGGAGATAATGTTAAAATAGTACCTGTACCTTTGAACTAAAAACACTTAACCTTATAAACTAGGAAAACAGAAAGCAGTATGATTTTTTCTAAAGATTTTATTTATTTATTTGACAGAAGGAGAGAGAGCAAAGGAAGCATAAATAGGGTGAGTGGCACAGGGAGAGGGAGAGGAGAAGCAGGCTCCTCACCAAGCAGGGATCCTGATGTGGGGTTCAATCCAGGACCTTGGGATCATGACCTGAGCTGAAGGCAGAAACTTAGCTGACTGAGCCACCCAGGTACCCAGAAAGTATTATAATTTCTATATAATTATCACCCCATAAGCATCCCTTATTGGTTTTCTTCAATAATTGGTAGGGAATAATAAATAAATTTCCAAAAATCAAAACTAAAAGATATAAATAATTAAAAGTGACAAATTTACTAACTATGATTATTTTAAAGTTCTGCTTCATGGGTAGGAAAGATGGTCCATTGACATTAAAGAATACTAACATGCAAAACAGGACTTAAGGAAATTTTTTTGAGTATTAATTTTATGTCTTTAAGAAACTGAAGAGTAGTTCAGAAGAAATCTCAAGAATGTAAGACAGATAAGATACAAAAAATGTTTGGTGAAAGAAACTGAATTTTTATACTGTAAAAATTTAAATTTGTAAATCAGCAAACAATGCAAAAATTGAAACACTGGAAGACAGATTCTATTTTTTTTCCTTTTTATTTTTGGTGACAGATTCTATTAAATAGCAATTTCTTTTTTTTTTAAATATTTTATTTATTTATTTGCCAGAGAGAGATCACAAGTAGGCAGAGAGGCAGACAGAGAGAGAGAGAGGAGAAAGCAGGCTCCCTGCCAAGCAGAGAGCCTGACGCAGGACTCGATCCCAGGACCCCGAGATCATGACCTGAGCCGAAGGCAGAGGCCTATTAACCCACTGAGCCACCCAGGCGCCCCTTAAATAGCAATTTCACAGGTATTACTGAATTCTTGTCATGGTCCACACACTGAATGATAATGAGGGAATATACTGTGAACAAAGAGATGAAATCCTTGCTCTTATCAAACTTACAGTTCAATGAATGTGAGACATGAAGTAAAGAAATGAGCAAATTATAAGGATTCATCTATTTCTGATCATAACCACCATAAACAAGGGGGAAATTAGGGTATTATAAGTGAGGATACCAACGGAAGATTCAAGAATCAAAGGAAGATCATTTCTCTCTAGGGGATAAGGAGAGCAAATAGCCTGGTACTGAAGAATTGTGCTAGTTCCAAGAACTCCAGCATGCATGGGGAAAGGCTAGACCCTGTATGCTGCAAGTAGTTAGGTTTGGCAGTTAAACTCAATTTCTGTATTCTAAGTTCCCATGACCATACCCTAAACTTATTTCATTTTTTTCTCTGCAAAGTTCTCTGAATTAAATACAAAATGCATATTTTGTTCCATAAGACTGCATCACATCTTTTCTCTGTTTCCACAGTTTTATCAATTTATCATCACCTAAGATGCAAACTGCATTACACTGTGGCATTTGGACAGAATGTTCATGTAGTTCAGTTGGTTTGGAAATGATCATGGGTTTGGTTTTTCCTCTTGCAAAGAAAACAAATTCAGATTGATGGTATTACATATTGTTTTCTGATAAACTTACTTTGACTTATGTTTATAAAAAATACTTTGTTCACTCTTTAAATTGATTTTTTAAACAGTATAATATCACTTAAAATATTTATGAAAGAGAAAAGAAACTAAGGCAACTCTCATCTTCCCATCAATATTTACTACACATATTTTGTTTCTTGTTTTCTATACATATTGATTAATAACATTGATTGATTGATACAGTACATAAAGGCAGATATGGAAAAGAGTCACACTGTGTCTAACTATATTTTTCTAAATAGCATAATTATGTACATGCAAACATCTACATAATCAAGAAAATCACTTTTTAATACAACATTGAAATAGTTTACCTTAGTAATAGAAATTATATAAAATTTTTCTGAACAATCCACTTGTTGTTTTTAAAGATTTCATTTATTTAGTCGACAGACAGAGAGACAGCAAAAGGGAGCACAAGCAGGGGGAGTGTGAGAAGGAGAAACAGTCTTCCTGCTGAGTAGGGAGCCAGCCCAGCACAGGGCAAGATTCCAAGATTCTGAGATCATTACCTGAGCTAAAGGCAGATGCTTAATGACTGAGCCACCCAGGCACCATTAAACAATCCACTTCGTAATTATTTTTTCTTTTCAATATGAGGAATTTTAAGAAACTCACCCTTCCAGTATGATAAATGAAATATTGTGTAGTAAAATTTCTATGACAAAACAATCAGAGACAGAATGACTCCTGTGTGTTTTGACATACAAATTATAAATAAATATACAGCATATAATAATTAATGATGAATAGCACTTAATTATAATATGCATATCTTAAAATACAAATTTTTTCCATAAAGTTCCACAGAAATTAGCATAGGTTCCCTTCACATCCAGGGAAATATTGTGCCTTCTGAATTTATGCAACCCTGACCTTCTATTTCTTTATATTATAAGTATTCCATCTTAAAAGTGACATTACCTGCATTACCTCTTAATTATAGAAAACAAGCTGAGGTTGCTGGAGGGGAGGTTGGTGGGATGGATGGGATAACTGGATGATGGGTATTAAGGGAGGGTCCTGATGTAAAGAGCACCCGGTGTTATATGTAACTGATGAATCACTAAGTTCTACCTCTCAAACTAATAATACACTATATGTTAATTAATTGATTTTAAATAAATTAAAATATGGCATTACCTGGTTGGAAACAAGATCAGTGGCAGAGTTGGGCAAACGGAAACTTAGTGATGAGTGACCTGTGGACCTTTCTGCCTTGAGATCTTATCTAAGGCTCCCTCATTCAGTTAAATATATGGCCTCATGTGGATAGTCAGGAAAAGTATGAACACTTTTTCCATTTAGGAAAAAATTATTAGGATCTCAGAAGGGACTGGGATTCCCAAAATGTTCCCGGGGATCTATCTTTGAAGGTAGTTAGCTATCACTCCCAAAATGTTACAGAGATATAGAAAATAAAAACCAGACTTTCTGTGTTTTCAGTAAACTGAGATAACACATTAACTGTTTTTTTGTTTGTTTTTAAATTTTATTTTATTTTTTTTCAGTGTTCCAAAATTCATTGTTTATGCACCACACCCAGTGCTCCATGCGATACATGCCCTCCATAATACCCACCACCAGACTCACTCAACCCCCCCACCTTCCTCCTCTCCAAAACCCTCAGTTTGTTTCTCAGAGTCCACATTAACTGTTTTTAGTAGGCTGTTTTAAAGTGATCCACAATAACTTAAGCAATTTGTTAATTATATATTCTATAAGTTTTGCCATTCTTCAGTCTATTCACACTACAAATATTCACTGAGTGGCTGTTGGGTGACCATCTCTGTATTGGATATTAGTCATATAATGGGAACAAAAGAAAATCAGAAAGAATTAAGACAATACTTGTTATCAGTCTAATATTAATTGCTTGTGCTTTTTTTTTTTTACAAAAATAGTCATAGGAGCATATAATGATGGATAACAAAGATATACAGGACTGTTAAACTGCTCCTTGATTGTTCTATTAAAGCTGTATACATATATAAAAGACTTAAACACATTTTAAAACGAATTTCTGAATAAAGTTCAATAATACCAAAACAAAAGCAATGTATTACTTTAAAGTATAAAACATTTACATTTAGGCAACATCATATATCAAAAGTAAAAATTAGAGGGCAGACAAGATGGCGGGGAAGTAGGAGGAGGCGCCTTTTCAACCTGTACCCTAAAGTGAACTGATTACCTACCAAAGAACTCCGATCACCCATGAAAACAGCCGGAGACCAGAATTATACACATCTGGATCTCTACAGGGGAAGAAGATGCCAGTGGGCAGGTAAAGCGGAGTGGAGTGGGAAAGACCGACTGATATCGGAAGATAAACAAAAGGGGGAGGGAGCCACCAGAGGTGACCGGTTGGAAAGTAA